TGCGGAACCGGGGATTGAACTCAGGCCCTTGTGCTTGCCAGGCAAGCGCTTATTTCACTGAGCCATCTCCCCGGCCCCTTTCCTATTACATACTCATTGTTTTTTTTTTTTTTTTTTTCAAAATTTTATTGATAAACAGCAATGAGACAGTTTCAAATCAAATCGGAAGTACAGTTTCAACAAATAATGCACTGCATATATTCTTCTTAGTCATACTCATTGTTTAATGTAGTAAAATTCATAAAATTAATTCACAGAAATATTCTAAAGAATAAACGTTACACACCCACCATGTTTATGCACCCTGATGACAAAATTAATCATATGCTCCAATAACATACCCTGGGGGCTGGGGAGGTGGCTCAGTCAAATAAGCACTTGCCTGGCAAGCACAAGGGCCTGAGTTCAATCCCCAGTTTCACAAGAAAAAAAAAATATCATGCAAAGTAGGAGACTTTAGGAGCCGTGGATATAGCTCTTGGGCAAAAGCACCTGCCTGGCAAGTGCAAGGTCCTGAGTTTAATCCCTGGTACTGCAAACAAAACAAAACGAAACAAAAACCTGGAAGTTACAGGCTCAACCCCTGAAGTGCCCTACGGAGCAGTGTGCATCGACTGTATGAGAGTGAGGCTCAGGGAAGGAAGGACCATGGGGCCCAAGGTGTCACTCTAGGGACCACATGAGGTGGGGACTCATCTGCTTGGCTGCCCTGAATCCTGGAGCCCGGCCACAGCTTCTCCCCTACTCCTGCATTGGGGACTGAACCCAGGGCTTTTGCTGGAGCTACATCCTAGCTCTTTTTTTTTTTTTTGCAGAACCGGGGATTGAATTCAGACCCTTGCACTTGCCAGGCAAGCACTTATTCTACTGAGCCATCTCCCCGGCCCCACCAGCTCTTATTTTTATTAGTGCATGTTTGCAGTACATGATCACCTTCATTGTGGGGAAGATGTACATGTACATAACACATCTTTATTCTTTTTACATCCCCATCCCCTCTGTTCATTTCTTTATCCCAGCTTGTTTGTTTTGAGACAGGGTTTAGCTATGTAGTTCAGGCTGGACTTGAACTCACTATGTAGCCCACACAGTCCTTGAACTCAAAGAGATTCTCCTGACTCAGCCATCTGAGTACTGAGATTTCAGGTGTGTGCAACCACGCCCAGCTCCAGAAGTTTTTCATCCCATTCTGTATCTGTTGGAGAGCTGTATTTTCATGACACTCTGTATCTGTTGGAGACCAGGTCAGAAACAAACAATATAAAGAAGTAAATGTGGCAAGGTGTCCAGCTTCCTTGACCTGCAGTCTAAGCAATGGGCTCAACTGCATTCCCAGGGCTCTGGAATGTATGGTCTCTTGTTTATCAGTTTGGCCTTGGTAGCCTAGAGTTAACTAGGGCAAATGTTGGGCACATGTTCAAAACTTTGGGTATGTAACCTTGGAATAAATAAACAAAACTGCCTCGCTAGCAGCTTGGTTCTCCTGACCCTGGGTTTCTTTCTTCCTCATTCTGTCTTTCCTCTACCCTGTTCCCCTCTGCGAGGGCTGGATCCCCACATGTATCCACGAATAACTCCCCATTTTCCTCTTTCCCCAGCACCTGACTGTTCTGTTAATTTGACTGCACTTGGTACCGTAAATGGAATCCCCCTATATTTAACCGTTTGTCACTGATTTCACTTAATACACTATCTTCAGGGTTCATTCACGTTGCAGCATGAGTCAGAATTTTCTCCTTTTACACCAGAATAGCCAATGTGTCTACACACTGTGTGTGATTTATCCATTTATCCACTGCCAGATATCTGGGTTGCTTCTAATTCTTGTCTAGGTAAATAATGCTGCTATGGACTTTTCTCTTGCTCTCACTTCAGTTGGCACGAATGTCCTGCAAAGGGGTCCTGCAGAGTGTGTGTCTGACGCCTGTCTCATGAACCCAGATCCTGTATCCCTGGACCCCTGCACATTTCCTGCACTGCATCCTTTTCTACTTGAAGAGAGAAATGGGCCTTGCTGTTCACTCTTAACTTGTTCGTTGGCGTTCCCATGTCAGAAACAGTCCAGCTACATGAACCTTGGATTCATCTTTGACATCCTCATTCTCTCACCTACCCCAAGCTCTGCTACTTTTATTTCCCAAGGTCTTGTCTTTTTTTTTTTTTTTGTGGAACCGGGGATTGAACTCAGGCCCTTGCGCTTGCCAGGCAAGCACTCACTCTACTGAGCTATCTCCCTGGCCCCTCTCAAAGCGTTGAGAAGTTGGGCAAAGAGAGCAGAGTATTTGTGTTTCCTGGAAGATATCAGAGGGCAACTCACTTGTCTCCCCGCTTCCCCTTTAACCATTCATTCCCTATTACTTTTCAAACTAGACAGTGTACATATATGAGTTAAATTTTTTGGCCTACAAGTCCTCCCTGGAGGTAACTGTTCTCCATTCCAAGTCCCTTCCCCAGTCTGGTTCACCTGGGCCAGGTAAATTCACCCACCCACCCATCCGCCCCACTTCTCCGGCAGCCAGTCCGCTACATGATCTTTCCCACAGCATCTGCTCCAGCCCTGCACTGCCCTCCACCATAGTCGTACCTACACATTCAAGGATGAGTTCCTTAGTGTCAGCCCCGGGGGATAAGAGCTGCACGCGAACACGAACCGTGTTTCCCGACGCCACTACGCTTACTGAAGACCTCACTACTCCCAGAAACCGCTTCTACTGGGGCGGAGACTGCCCTTCCAGCTCGATCCGGAGCAGGCGCGCACCAGGACTGAGCATGCGCAAAAGGCTGCGCGGGCGCGGACTGAGCATGCGGAAAAGTTTGCGCGGGCGCGGACTGCACCTCCCAGCAGGCAGCGGGGCATTCTTTGGGCGCTCGTGACCAGCGACTTCCGGCGTGGAGAGGCGGGGCTGTGCGTGGCTGAGCCAGCAGCTGGACTGTGAGGAGGGTGCCCGAGGGCCCGCTGGGCGCTGGCCGCCATGGAGGCCGTGCCCCGCATGCCCATGATCTGGCTGGACCTGAAGGAGGCCGGTGACTTCAGTTTCCAGGCAGCCGTGAAGAAGGTGAGCCACCTCCCGCCTTCCCCGTCCGCCCTGTACCTCCGCCGGGGTCCAGCCCCGGATGTCCCCCACGCCCACCCCTCCCCAAGGCCCGTCGCGGGGTCTGTGAGGCAGGTTTTTCTGGGCCTGTTCTCTCCTACCCCACGGCGTCCGCAGATCGCCTTTTCGTTCTGCCCGCCTCCTCGTCGGGACCCCCTTCGCTACTTGTGGCCCTGGCCCTCGGCATTTCCCACCCGGACTCCCTACTTCTTCCGCTTGACGCTCAGGACCCAATTCCATCCCGCCTCTCCTCCGCGGGAGGACCGCCCCTCGGTGGTGTCAGTCCACAACGCGGCGGGGACTGGCGCTAGGAGGCTCGGGAACTCCGGTGGCTGAGTGGGATGCTGGTCCTCGGTGGGGGTTTCTCTGACACTGACTGCATCTCACAAGAAGAGTCTTACTCGAAAGCTTCTTTGGACCAGAAAGCAATTCATGTCGTTTTTAGGAAGGCTGTACTTTCTGTAGCTGCGTGGACACATGAAGGAAAAGTGTTGCAGCACTGGTCATTGTGTTGGACACAGCCTGCCGGCAGGTCCCTTATTAATAGAGGCGCGCGGGCTCCGAGAGGAGGTGTGCTGATGCGCATCAAGCGCCCTCTGACCACCACACAGCTTTGAGGACAGGAGCAGAAATGAAAAGGAACCAGAAGGCTGTTGACGTTGGGAGGCCTTGGGGCACTACGCTGCCAGTGTAAGCAGTAGACAGTGGTACTCAACTCAGTAGGGTGCTCGAAGTGGGTTTGGAGGCACTTTCCTACGAAGCTGTCTCCTGTCTTCTTTTCACACTCACCGCCTTTACTCAAGGCTCTATTTGTTTCTTTTTGTTCGCAGTGCTGGAGATTGAACCCAGTGGCGTAGACATGCTAGGCATGCACTGTCACTCAGTCATCACCCCCTCCACCCAGGCCTGTTTTTCCTATTTGGAAACTCTGCAAGTTAAACCAGTAAAAATTCTACAGTTTTAACTCTTCCTCACATTTTGTACAGATACAGCTAGATGGGTTTTTCTACATTTTTTTTTTTTAATTGTGTGTGTGTGTGTGTGGCCAGCTCAGCCCACCAGGGGGCGGGGCTGGCTGGCATGTGGTGCTGGGGGACCGAACTGTGGTCCCTGTGCTTTGCCAAGCTTGTTCCAAGTAGGTGCTTTAGACCACTGAGCCATCTCTCCAGCCCATAGATGGGTTTTTCTAAAACACAAGAATTCTTGTTTTCTAGTTTTACAGAATAAAGCCAGCACTTTTGGTTTCCTATTCACAGTTCTGACCTAGCAGGGCATGGTGGCACATGCCGGTAATCCCAGTACTCTGGAAGCTGAGGCAGGAGGATCCTTGTAAGTTCGAGACCATCCTGGGCTACAAAGTGAGTTCAAGGCCAGTCTGCACTTCATAGCGAGACCCTGTCTCAAGAAAAACAAAACAAAACAACCCAACCAGAGTTCAGACCTTTTCCAGTCCTTTCAACATTTAATGAGGTCCCACCATGTGCATGAATTGCATGCTTCTGATACATAGCTACTTGCCATGTCCTTCACATGCTCTGGGGTTCAATCTTTGCATTTTTGGTGGTAGAATCTCTTCTGCCAAGAAGATCTCAAGTCTTTGCTCTGAGGGGTGGTGATGGACCCTTTTCAGTCTCTGTATATTGGGACACCTCTTTCAAGGCTCAGTTTAAATCCACTCTTCCATAAAGCTTCCTTAATCCCTTACCTGGATTAATCTCTGAATTCCCCTCTTTTCATCTTTTTTGTTTGAGACAGGGTCTTGAAGTAGTACAGGCTCACCTTGAACTCACAGTTATCCTTTTGCCTCAGCCTGCCAAGTGCTGTGAACCATAGGCATGTATCACCATGTTCAGCCCTCCATGTTTTCTTTGATGATAGTTATGTGTGGCTTTTTTTTTTTTTGAGACAGAGTGCTATTAGCTCAGCCTGACCTTGAATCCTCCTACCTCAGCCTCCCAAATGCTGGGATTAGAGGCATGTACCACCATGCCTGGCTTGCTGTGTTTTAGCCCTCCTAATCAGTTGGAGTTCCCGGGGGAACATCTCCATGATCCTCGTCACCAGCAGAGCACCCACATTGTTGGCCATCAGAAAATGTTTCTCCCATAACTTAATGACAGTGAGAGGGCAGTTAGATTACTATGAGCCCAAATGTATGGAAATCCAGTGGAGAAAAACCTCAGCCCAGAAATTCTTTGGAGTTATATTTGTTTGAACTTAGCTTTTTTGCTGTGGTCACTCATGTACAGCAAGCTGGGTACAGTGTTGGGAGAGCTGTGACTTCCCTGGGAAAACCTAGGCCTCTGTGACAAGTTACTTGAGAAGCATTTACCCTAGACACATTCTGCAGATGCTTCTGCAACCTGTCGGTGCTTCCTTTCCTAGCACCGGAGCCCCTCATGAGCTTCTGCTACTTGTCTCCATCTCTGTTTACCCTGGCTCTGAGCTGTGGGAACCTCTACCAGTTACTTGAAGTTAAGGGGTAGGATTTTATTTATTTATTTATTTATTGACATCAGTTATTTTATTTTAAAGAAAAAAAAAATGGTACAAAATCTCAAAACAAGATTTTAGTAGAGTAACAATGGTTAGTACATTGTGTATTGTTACTGCCAAAGTAGTTTCTCATATTACAAGATATAGGCAAGAAATAATAAACAACATAGGTACAAACCTGTTTGTTTGTTTGTTTTTTTAAGTCAACAGAAAATGGAAATATAC